ATGGATTTGTGTGTTTAATTTGATTTAAAATGATATTCTAATTTACGCGTGTTCGATGTGCACATACCTACGAGACGAGGACTTTTAGATGGCATAGGCTTCTCTATATGTCATATCAAGTAGAAAAGTCAAGAAAGATTATACAACAAAATTAGACACTCAAAAAAACAATAATCATAGCACTAAACTATGGTGGCGTTTAGTTAAAAACTATATGAACAAAAAATCTAAAAGTTCCTCCTTTCCTCCTATTACACACAATAACGAAGCCTATCAAGAACCAGAATCAATAGCAAACGTTTTAATATTATTATTTTATTGACAAGGCAATAATCATGACCTAATAAGGATCTTCCAGAATATGACATTAAACAATAACAGTAAATATGAGAATTTATATCTTACAAAGCAGGATGTTGAAGATGTTCTATCATCATTAAACATTACCAAAGCGAGTGGACCAGATGGTATTGGAAACCGCTTTGGTATCCCCCTCTTTGTCACTAGCATTAACTAACCTCTTTAACAAGTCACTTCAAACATCAGTTTTCCCAGACATATGGAAAGAATCATCAGTCATACCAATCCACAAGAAAGGTAATATTATCGACTGTTTGAACTATAGACCCGTTGCCTTAACATCTTGTTCATCCAAGGTCTTTGAAAAATGTATATTTAAATATGTCTTTAACTTCATGAGAGATAACAATTGCCTCTCAAATTTACAATCTGGATTCATGCCAGGAGATTCAACAGCTTAAACCAACTCACGCATTTGTATAATTTTATTGCTAAAGCTATAGACAACGGAAGAAGTAAGAGCTGTATTCTGCGATATAAACAAGGCATTTGATAAAGTTTGGCACAAAGGGATTATCCATAAACTAAAATCATGTCGGATAGATGGGAAGTTATTGAAATGATAAGGAAAATAAGCCCTATGATTATTTGCCTTCGTAGTTTTAAATATAGACTATCACGCAAAACTCACGAAACAATGTATAAATCCTTTATCTTACCTCTATTCGACTATATTGCTGTCATCTCTGGGACAATTGTACAAACGAACAGTCCTTGTCACTAGAAAACCTTCACTTAGATGCCTTACGCACACTATGTGGTGCAGTTAGAGGTACGAGCCATGCGAAACTATATCATGAGACAAACCTGACTTCCTTATCGAAACGGAGAGAAACTTCTAAATTAACATTATTTTACAAAATGGTGAAAACCATATGGTTCCTGACTATCTTTGTGATCTTGCTCCAGGAATGTTTCTGATAACAGTAACTACAATCTTAGGAATAATGAAAATTATCAGACTATATGATGCAAATCTACTAATTATGCCAAATCGTTTTTGCCCGATACAATTAAACTGTGGAATGACCTACCTACAAATGCTACAAACGCTTCCTCTGTTGGACAGTTTAAAAATTCAATCACACCACAAGTTAATTCCAACACAATGTTCGATCTAAATTTTGGTAGTCGATTTTGTCAAATAATACACTGCCGCCTTAGATTGGGATGCAGTGACTTAAACAGTGATAAGTATAATCGTTTCATTTCTGATAATGCTTCTTGTTCCTGCTCACAAGATTATGAGGATATATTCCACTATTTTTTCATGTGTCCTAAATATAATACCATTCGATACGAATCGTATTTCTATGTGAAAGGTTTCTCCCTGCGGGATGTGCTAAATGGCAATAACTCAGTATCACATCAGACGAATATGGATATTCTACGGTCAGTACATCAATTCATTATTACATCAAAACGTTTTGATTCATAAAGTTTTGTAGCTTCTCTTATTTTTTATTTGTATCAACTGGCCACGAAACAAAACCAAGATAAATTGTTGATATCCATGATTGTTATTATAACTTGATATAACCACTATAAATATGTACAACATTATGCACAAATGTGAACCTTCACATGTATTATGGAGCGGCATTAATATAAGCCATTTAGGCTTGTTTGCCAATCCTTTTCTTTCTTCTTGAATAGAATAAAATATGTTTAAACCATATCAAGTACCAACCACATAGCCCGTTTTCCATATATGCAATGGATCAAAGTACAAATCTACAAAATCCAGATAAAATACAAAAACATAATATCACAGCAGAGGGTCTACCAGTCGAATTGACCTAGCTACAAAATGCCCCAACAAATTTGGTCAAATTGCCCCAGGAGATATTCAAAATGTTCCAATCTATTTAAAATTTTAAAATATGTAACATAGATGCATAGTGTTTGTTTTGGTAACTTTGATATTATATTCTTCATATAAAAGTTATAACATGCAAAATAATTGTCATTACAGTGTTTTCTATTCAGGAATATTCCTTTAACTCTTATGAGTTTAGTAATGGAATATTAATCAGAAATATTACATCCTAATAACTTGTATATGAAGAATATAATATCAAAGTTGCCAAAATAAACTATATGCATTTATGGCATATATTTAAGCATTTTAAATAAATTGGGACATTTGGAATACCCCATGGGACAATCTGACAAACATTCTGGGGCAACTCTACCTAATTTGTATTTTGTAGCTACCCTCAGCACATACGCGATGTACATGGTGCAGTGAGTGAGTGAGTTTAGTTTTACGCCGCTTTTAGCAAAATTCCAGCAATATCACGGTTTAAACATAGTTTTTTTCATAAAAAATGAATTGGGGTTGGTGAACAAGCTTTACAGCTTATATCAACACATATTAATAATACATGTGTGCATATTACATCAAATACAAGTACCACTATCATACACCACGGCGGGGGGAACCAGAAATGGGCTACATGGTGCAGAGATATGAATACAAGCTGACCCCCACCTAGTCCCCATCCCAACCCAACCAGTTGTAACCCCGACCTTGGTGGCATACATATAAACTAAACAAACAATTATTAAGATCAAAATCAGCTGCACAACTCGTGTCCTTTATTTTAACTACTGATTGCTAAAAACGCCAATGGCAGCGCTCCATAGTCGATGTCCGCCATTATAGCTAAATATAGCAGCGCAAAAATGTAAGAAACGTGAAACTGAAACGAAATAGAATTCATTTTTTATGCGCTTTACTGTATTACTCTACTAGCTTAAAATAAGTGAGCGACCAATTAATGTTCCTGGTTGTGGATGCTGAATTTAACAATATATGCGTATGCCCACAAATAGAACCAGAAAATATATGATGTGAATGGTATTGGATTTTGATTTTATAGTTTAATAATTATGCTAATATGTGCAAAAATATAGTAAGTTGTATCTAAATATCGGCAAGCCTGGTCATTTTTGCACAGTGTTTATGTAATAATACAGTAAATAGTTTCTTTTAAAGTATGAACGGGGAATAAAAGAAAATTAAATAATGTCATAATTATTTTTTTAATGATGTTACATGGAATTTTACTTGTTTTTGTGAGGGTGACAATGCGACAATGCCCCTTCTACGCTTCCATATCTGTGTTAGCATCACCTACTATAACAGCATGTTTTAAAGAACATCGTGTCATGTCAAATACTGGAAAACACAAGGCCCGTACTATAACTGTAGAAGAAATGTGCCTAAACCATGCGGCAGTACTATCAACGTTTGGTTTGACTTTAATCTGAAGATATATCAACTCACCTTTTGTACTGGATTCAAAAGCTCCAAATTCCCGTCTCAAAGATAAACTAACTTTAATGCACACATGGAAAACAAGTAGAATTATCCCCAAGTAGATTCTCAGAACGTTGTGCCTGACTTTTTTTTACAATAACAGAAAAGAAACAGTTTCAAATCTGTCAAAAATGATTTTTCAACTTTATACCCCACTAATCTAATAACAAACGTTAGAAAAAACTTAACACCTCGATCCATATTTTTTTGGTTACAAAACGTGGTGACGATAGACATGTTTATATGTTTTTAGATGTTAGCCCAAATTGTCGAAAATGAAAACAAACGCTATCTGAAGCTTAACCAGTAAATAATCCTGAGCTTCCTCACTCATAACATCTATGTAACATTTTGGGACAAGACATTTTGCAGTAGGCATTCCCATGGCACCACTCGTGCTCTGTCTTGTTAATCTGTTTCGCGTGTCACCACTGACTTTCAGTGATCCGTTCATATAATTTTCACAGCTATTCTTCTATTTACTCAAAAAGGAATGTTTTCTGAGGATAGTCAAGACGTTCTATATTTCATGCATATGGATCAGAATCTCTGCTCGGATTGGCAAAGTAGAGTAGCAGTGAACCCAAACACGTTCACCCCAGCACAGTTTCACACCAGACTGTTTCACCGTGGTTGTTTCACCCTATACAGTTTCAACACCATTTATAGGTTGTTTCACCCCACCAAATAACTATTATTATTATTATCAACTATAAAATTGTTTCAATATTTTATAACCCCGACGCAGTGTTGTCGGTATTTTGCTACGGCGACGTAAAACCTAAACCATTCGCTCACTCTGGTTTTATTTTCTCAGGCAACACCCGCGGGACATGGTCAGTGTGTGATGTATGGCATGTGTGGGGTGAACCCAAACACTGGGAAGCCCGTTCCCTGTGCATACACCGGACCCCCCAAACCCCTCACTGGCCCCACTGCAAGGCGTGTTTTGGACTTTTCTCATGGTCAGTATTCGTCTTGTATTTTAATTTGACGTGATGTGTCTTTGTTATTCTGTTTTTCACAACGTACCCCTCTTCTTAGTCATTATCTGTCAAACAATTTTTCCTGTATTTCAGACACAAACACGTGCTGTGACGCTCATCAGCTGTCTTGGCTCCAGTCCATGCTGACAGTGCCGGATCAGATCCTGGGAAACTGTCCAGCATGCAACTACAACTTCAGGAACGTTTTCTGCAACATGGTGTGTAGTCCCAAACAGAGCGACTTTGTCGCCGTCACCAGTACTTCCTCCCAGTCGGTCACGGCCATAAAATACGACGTCACTACGAAATTCGCCGACGGCATGTACAAATCGTGCAAGGACGTCACTATGCCATCTTCCGGTGGTAACGCCCTTGATCTTTTGTGTGGTTGGCCCGCAGATGAATGCTCCCCAAAAAGGCTACTTTATTATCTCGGCAACGTAGGAAATGGTCAATCAGCTTTCTCGATCAAGTTCGATGTAACTGACTCTCCACACGCGCTGCCGAGCGGAGTAACCTTGTACCCTATGAACGCAACAACTATTCCATGTTCCTCCCCTGTGGGCAAAAGAAGCAGATGTTCCTGTCGTGACTGCGGGGCTGTTCCAAGTCCCACCACAACCGTGGCCCCGATTCCAGCGTATCCCTGTACAAACAGCCAAAAGGGTGGTATTCAAAAAGCGTAAGTTTCGTCGATAAAGATTAAATGCCATTATTAATAGAGCCACGGGGAGACAGCAAGCGTGACAGGGGAGGGGGTAGAACAAGAGGGCACGGGGGAGAGGGTAGAACAAGAGGGTACGGGGAGACAGCAAGCGTGACAGGGAGAGGGGTAGAACAAGAGGGTACGGGGAGACAGCAAGCGTGACAGGGAGAGGGGTAGAACAAGAGGGTACGGGGAGAGGGGTAGAACAAGAGGGTACGGGGAGACAGCAAGCGTGACAGGGAGAGGGGTAGAACAAGAGGGTACGGGGAGACGGGAACGAGAGAGACGTAGGGCAAAATTGGGTTGGGAGAAAGGCAGGGTAAGAGGGGACGGAAGATGGGTAGGGAATACGGGTAGGGGAAATAAGTTGGGCAAGAGGGAATGAGGAGAGTGGAAGGACAACACTGGACGTGGAGAGGGGATGGATAAGACTTGACATGGAGAGGGGAAGGATAAGGTTGGACGGGGAGAGGGATTGACAAGACTGGACGGGGAGAGGGGATTGATAAGAATGGACTGGGAGAGGGGATGGATAAGACTGGAGGAGGAGAGGGGAAGGACAAGACTGGAGGAGGAGAGGGGAAGGATAAGACTGGACTGGGAGAGAGGAAGGATAAGACTGGACGGGGAGAGGGGAAAGACAAGATTGGACGGGGAGAGGGGAAGGACAAGACTGGACGGGGAAAGGGGAAAGACAAGATTGGACGGGGAGAGGGGAAGGACAAAGACTGGACGGGGGAGAGGGAGGATAAGACTGGACTGGGAGAGGGGAAGGATAAGACTGGAGGAGGAGAGGGGAAGGATAAGACTGGACGGGGAGAGGGGAAGGATAAGACTGGAGGAGGAGAGGGGAAGGACAAGGCTGGACGGGGAGAGGGGAAGGATAAGACTGGACGGGACGAGGGGAAGGACAAGACTGGAGGAGGAGAGGGGAAGGACAAGACTGGACGTGGAGAGGGGAAGGACAAGACTGGAGGAGGAGAGGGGAAGGATAAGACTGGACGTGGAGAGGGGAAGGACAAGACTGGACAGGGAGAGGGAAGGATAAGACTGGAGGAGGAGAGGGAAGGATAAGACTGGACTGGGAGAGAGGGAAGGACAAGACTGGACGTGGAGGGGAAGGATAAGACTGGACGTGGAGAGGGGAAGGACAAGACTGGAGGAGGAGAGAGGGGAAGGATAAGACTGGACGGGGAGAGGGGAAGGATAAGACTGGACGTGGAGAGGGGAAGGACAAGACTGGAGGAGGAGAGGGAATGTACAAGACTGGACGGGGAGAGGGGAAGGATAAGACTGGACGTGGAGAGGGGAACGACAAGACTGGAGGAGGAGAGGGGAAGGATAAGACTGGACGTGGAGAGGGGAAGGATAAGACTGGACGTGGAGAGGGGAAGGATAGGACTGGACTGGGAGAGGGGAAGGATAAGACTGGACGGGGAGAGGGAATGTACAAGACTGAACGGGGAGAGGGGAAGGATAAGACTGGAGGAGGAGAGGGGAAGGACAAGACTGGACGTGGAGAGGGGAAGGATAAGACTGGAGGAGGAGAGGGGAAGGATAAGACTGGACTGGGAGAGGGGAAGGATAAGACTGGACGGGGAGAGGGAATGTACAAGACTGGACTGGGAGAGGGGAAGGATAAGACTACTGGGAGAGGGGAAGGACAAGACTGAACGGGGACAGGGGAAGGATAAGGCTGGACGGGGAGAGGGGAAGGGTAAGACTGGACGGGGAGAGGGGAAGGACAAGACTGGACGGGAAGAGGGGAAGAACAAGACTGGACGGGGGGAAAAGGGAAGGACAAGACTGGACGAGGAGAGAGGGGAAGGACAAGACTTGACGGGGAGAAGGAAAGGACAAGACTGGACGTGGAGGGGAAGGACAAGACTGGACGTGGAGAGGGAAGGACAAGAGTTGATGGGAAAAAGGTAGGGCAAGGTTCGACAGGGAAAGTGGTAGGGCAAGAAGAGACGGGGAGATTACGAGGGGAAAGACAAGATTGGACGGGGAGAGGGGAAGGACAAGACTGGACGGGGAGAGTGGAAGGACAAGACTTGACGGGGAGAAGGAAAGGACAAGACTGGACGTGGAGGGGGAAGGACAAGACTGGACGTGGAGAGGGGAAGGACAAGAGTTGATGGGAAAATAGGTAGGGCAAGGTTCGACAGGGAAAGTGGTAGGGCAAGAAGAGACGGGGAGATTACGAGGGGAAAGACAAGATTGGACGGGGAAAGGGGTAGGGCAAGAAGAGACATGGAAATTACGAGGGGAAGGACAAGATTGGACGGGGAAAGGGTAGGGCAAGAAGAGACGGGGAGAGGGAAAGGCAAGAGGGATACGGAGAGGCATAGTAGAAGATGGCATGGATAGAGGGGTTAACAGGAAAGGGTGAGGTGGTGAACGAGGTTAGGGATCGGTAGAAACAAGACTGGGATAGCACATTGACGGCACATTGAAGGACAGATAAAGGAGAGCCAGATATAGGGGAGAAATAGAGAAAATGTATGGAAATGGAGACGGAAGGACAAGCCATATTCAGCCGCAAACACACCCCTACAGTGAAGTACCGTACGTCCTGCTCTTCTCGGAAGAATCCAACCAATCGCCATTCCATCCCATTATCGTAAACGTTCTGACGTTTTGCCCTTATAACTGCAGCCCGGGGTATGCGAGTCTGCACCTGTTGATCCAGAGACTGGGCAACCACTCAAGGATACAGCATTTCTACCCTCCCCCAAGTCTGCAGAGCATCATGTTCCAAGCAGTCTTCGAGAAAGCCTTCCTGCATCAGGTCAGTTGGATACTCCTAATCAGTTTTGTTGGGCCAAATGTGTAACGAGAGTTTCAAAGGTTCAAATTTAGTCAGGTGCTGTTTTTTTCTAATGATAAATATCACTTGACTTTGAACAGACTTTTGATATGTCCACTGTTGATTGCACACGTGTCCTTCTGACTACAGCTGACTGTCCCAGTGTCATTGTTTCCATAGGTGAGTGTGGGTGTGTCTTCATGTCTGTCATATCCATAGCTTATTGTCCATGTGTCGTCATGTCTGTCATATCCATAGCTTATTGTCCATGTGTCGTCATGTCTGTCATATCCATAGCTTATTGTCCATGTGTCGTCATGTCTGTCATATCCATAGCTTATTGTCCATGTGTCGTCATGTCTGTCATATCCATAGCTTATTGTCCGTATATCGTCATGTCTGTCATATCCATTGCTTATTGTCCATGTGTCGTCATGTCTGTCATATCCATAGCTTATTGTCCGTATATCGTCATGTCTATCATATCCATAGCTTATTGTCCATGTGTCTTCATGTCTGTCATATCCATTGCTTATTGTCCATGTGTCGTCATGTCTGTCATATCTATAGCTTATTGTCCATGTGTCGTTATGTCTGTCAAATCTATAGCTTATTGTCCATGTGTCGTCATGTCTGTCATATCCATAGCTTATTTTCCATGTGTCGTCATGTCTGTCATATCCATAGCTTATTTTCCACTTCTCGTCATGTCTGTCATATCCATAGCTTATTGTCCACGTGTTGTCATGTTTGTCCATTATGATTGTCAAAGTTTGGTGTGTTATTCACGGTCCTGTTCATTTTACAGATACTCGATTTGCAGACGAAAATACAAACTTGGAGTTTCACCATGGCCTCCACCAGTGTTACCCTGGACAACATATGTCTACATGACAACGTCACCAAACACTGTACTGTCCCTAGCGTCCTACAATACTTTCAAAACAGCAACCGAAACGTGGACAAGAAAGTGATGGACAGTTCTGGATTTTTCATTATGGCTGACTACCTGGATCACCTCCTCATATGCTTCAGGTTTATATCAGCTTGAACTGATTGAACTGATTGAACTGAATTGATTGAATGCTTAGTTTGGTAAGTTGCCGGGTGGGCTTCATAATGATTGTAAATCATCCATCCATCCATCCATCCATCCATCCATCCTTCCGTTCGTCCGTTCGTACGGGCGCCTGCTCGTCCGTCCATCCATCCGTGGGTAGAATGTAATGGTATTAGTTCATGAGGAAAGATGCGTAACTTTACTATACTAAATCTAATTCACCCGTATCGTTCCAGGAAACCCCAGACAACCTTGGACCGTCCTCTGAACCTGTCCTGTGTGTCGGACTATGGTGGAGTGGTCGAACCCTCCCAGATATTTTGTGGATATGACGGTAGGTGGAGAGTGACTATATCCTTCTTGTCTTTTGGAGACTATACACACGGTTTGACTGGTAAGGAATCAGATAAGTAGATTGGTAAAATAGACGTTATGTCTCACGTTTACACAGCAACATTACAACATGAAGTAACGTACCTTTTGTGCAAATGTGAGTTGTCTCAGCGAAATGTGTCGATGTCCACAGTTGCGTCTGTACCCAAAATATACAGTTAAAGTAAACAATAATTATAATCGAGTTTTGTACAATAAATAAACGTGAATAAAAACCTGGTCTCACTCTGTTCAACTAAGGCTTTTGAGAAAAACACTATTCAAACAATTATGGAAGAAAGCCAAAAGACACGCGGGTCATTGACGTTTACCAAATTTCAAGTAGCACGTAACTGTCACAGATTATATAACCAAGGATAATAGTCAAACTGATATGGAACTCGAACCAATGACCCAGGAACTAGAGCTTTGCACAGCGAACTGCGAATTCAAGTACTACTATAAATGAATTGATACATTTTCCCTTATCAGCCAGTATTTCCTGATCTTTCAGGCAGCAACTATCAGAACTCCACCCAGCTGGTGATGACGTTCGTGATAAAGGACCCCCCGGGCGTCTCCTGCTGCTACTGTGTGGGTGAACGGAATTCGAAGGTTCATCCAGACGTGGCAAAACGCCAACAAGGAAGTGAAGATCACCACCTTCTCTGAACCCCCTAATTAGGTAATGCTTGAACATCCTGCTGTCCCTCTTTACTTGAGGGCGGGTGGGTATTTTTTGTTTGTTAAAAAACGCGACATTTTCCAATTTTATTCTATGATTTTCCTTTCGTTTAAGAATGTACTTTTCAAAATTTCGATTCTTTTCTTGCTACTCGATTGTATTCTCGTTATTAAAGTTTATTTTAAAAACTCGGAATTTAGATTATTTTCTCTTCACATATAGTATGACCAGAAATTATTGAGAATTTTAGGAATATGTTTAATTGGATTTCTAGTATAAACAACCTTGACCAGCTATCAAGTGCTTGGTTTAATTTAAGAGAGACAGCTCCGTTAATCCCTTTTCATTAGTTTTTGTGAAGAGTTATCCCCCCTTTGTTTACTTGCTTATAACAATTACTATAACAGTATATACAGTATATAAGTATACTGAGTCCAAAAAGAAACTTCACATTCTTTCTTCAGGGCACTATAAAAAAACAAGAGATGGTAGGATGGTTAAATTGTTATTATTTCATTGCTGAGATCTGTGTGATGTACTCGATACGTAATCAGTTCCATTAGGCTACACCGCCGTTCCAAAACATGGGTATACAGAATGTCAAGTCACAAGAATAAATATGCGAAATTTCTCAGTTCAATATCGTGTATGGCCGCCCAGCGCAGTCACCACTGCCAAACACCGTCTCCTCATCGACTGCCTGATGCTTGTGAACACGTTGTTGGGGAATCTGCACCATTGTTCTTGCAAGGCTGCGCCAAGTTCCTGCAAATTCTGAGGTTGGGTCCTAAGACCACGAAGCCTTCTCCCAAGTGCATCCCAAACGTGTTCTATTGGATTAAGGTCAGGGGACCTTGATGGCCAGTCCATGACGTTGATTCCAGCGTTTTGAAGGAAATTTCGTGTCAACATCGCGGTATGCGGCCAAGTATTATCATGCTGGAACTGTAGACCTGGGCCATGAGCCGCCATGAAAGGAACGAGTTCAGGGGTGAGCACCTGGTCGCGGTAAGCAGCAGCTGTGAGGTTTCCACGGATGACCAGAAGTCGGGAACGGTTGTTCCCACAGAAAGCACCCCACACCATGCAACTTCCGCCAACGAATCTGTCGACTTCCTGTACACAACATTGGGCATACCGTTTACGACGTCGTCTCCAGACTCTATGCCTGCCGTCCGCGAAACTGAGGGTAAACCTGGATTCATCGCTAAAGACGACTCGATTCCAGTCTCTCTGGGTCCACCGGAACCTTTCTACCAGGACAAGAAGTATGTGCATCATATCGATGTGGCCACAAGTCAGAAACAAACAGATTGCATCAAACACATTGAAACAGCATCCTCTTTCAGGATTTTAGAAGGAATCTCCACCCATAACACAATGACACAAGGTTGTTCGGGAAACGCTAACTCCGTCTCCTGTTACCAACTGTTTAATAAAACAAGAATAGGTCAGCAACATATCATGCTTGTCTCACTGTGGACATTTCCTGCTAGAATAGGTACTCAGTATATCATGCTTGACTTTCTGTGGACATTTGTATCTAGAATAGGTCACCAGCATATCATGTTTGTCTCACTGTGGACATTTGTATCTAGAATAGGTCACCAGCATATCATGCTTGTCTCACTGTGGACATTTCTATCTAGAACAGGTCACTGGTACATCATGCTTGACTTTCTGTGGACATTTGTATCTAGAATAGGTCACCCGTATATCATGCTTGTCTCACTGTGGACATTTGTATCTAGAATAGGTCACCAGCATATCATGCTTGACTCAGTGTGGACATTTGTATCTAGAATAGGTCCTCAGTATATCATGCTTGTCTCACTGTGGATATTTGTATCTAGAATAGGGCCTCAGTATATCATGCTTAACTCTTTGTAGACATTTGTATCTAGAATAGTCGACCAGCATATCATGCTTGACTCAGTGTGGACATTTGTATCTAGAATAGGTCATCGGTATATCATGCTTGTCTCACTGTGGACATTTGTATCTCGAACAGGTCACTGGTACATCATGCTTGACTTTCTGTTGACATTTGTATCTAGAATAGGTCACAAGAAATATATCATGCTTGTCTCACTGTGGATATTTGTATCTAGAATAGGTCCTCAGTATATCATGCTTAACTCTTTGTAGACATTTGTATCTAGAATAGGTGAACAGCATATCATGCTTAACTCTTTGTAGACATTTGTATCTAGAATAGGTGAACAGCATATCTTGTTTGACCCAGTGTAGACATTTGTATCTAGAATAGGTCTTCATAATATCAGTCTTGACTTTCTGGGGGCATTGGAATAGGCCAACAGTATATCATGCTTGTCCCCCGCCCGTCATTATCTTATGTGTATTTATTCTTCTATATTTCAGTGGAACAGAAAATGATCAGTGTGTATATATATTAGGAAAGTTGCCTCTTCTCAAATGACTGGATATCAAAGGCAGTGATACTCCAGGTACTCTGTATTTTGCATCCATCTATTTTTGGTCTGATTCAACATGCATTCCATATCTACTTGTTATTACTTCTTAACTAAAACTACGGTGCCGTTTTATTCTATTCCCTTCTCATGTCGCTATATGGTTGTGTTCCTTCACTTTCACTGACCGGTGGATATTATATCACAGTCAGTGAGTATGGTCGGACGCACCTGTTAACAGCAATTCAGTGATCATTCAGACTTGATATTGGAGGAAAGCCCGCAGTGAGTTAGTGAGTGGGCGAGTGAGGTTTTACGCCGCTTTTAGCAATATTTCAGCAATATCACGACGGGGGACACCAGAAAAGGGCTTCACACGTTGTACCCATGTGGGGAATAGAGCCTGGGTCTTCAGCGTGAAGTGCAAACGCTTTGACCACTAGGCTATCCTATCCCTCCCCAAAGAAAATCCCTAAGTATTGCAGGTCTAAGACGAGTACAACTTTGGTGAAATCAGCCACGATTGTGGTGCTGACAACCCTTTAAACGTCATGATGCCAACTTTGGTATTCGAACCCACCATTATCTGTTTCTGTCATGAGAAAAGATGAATTACATCAATTTTACTTGTCTTATAGCTAAAATACATGGAATTATCATGAAACGGCCCTCCCATTATCAGAAATTTTCGGGCCGCTGCAAATGATATTGGACCGCTCAACCTTAACGACGGGCCACTATCAGTTCTGTTGTCAAGTAACGTCATAGTGGGTGCGTGGGCTTACGGTTCTTTCGACATTAATTGGCTTTCGACTGGCAGATATTCTGGGTCAAACAAGTCAAAGCAACCCGAATTCCCCCTTTAATTAGCGGTAATATTGGCTTTCTTGTTGGTGCTAACCTTAACAATTGCACTATTAACGTTGTTGTTGGACCAAAACCGAACACTGACATAGTTTGGCATGTTGTAGGCTATGGTATTGTCAAAGGCCAAGGTCGAATATCGTCACTTTCTGTTGTGACGTCACTTAGATTGTTCGATGACGTAATTGCATTCGGGCAGTCAACCCCGTCAGAAGTTGATTTGGGTAAACTTACAGTCAAATTTCTTCATTGTTTCCTTTTTCTTTTCAACACAAATTACATGCATTTTAGCAATAATAACGGTAATGCTATTTTTGATGGCATTATCATTTGCAGAAGCCCTCGGTCTTTTTCAAATGCCCTCCTTCGTCGGGCAGTTAATGGAAGACCCCGGGCTTCTGCATATGATAATGCCCTCAAAAATAGCATTACCCTTATATTAACAACATGTCCGAACTCGTGGCTTCACATAGCGAAACATGACTGCAAACATCAATCAATCTTTATTTCAGTACTTAAAAAGGCCACAGGCCTGTAGTACATTTAGGTTTAGATAGAAATCATTTATAAATTCTCTTCTGTAACAATACTTTTTCTTAATCTCATAGCGAAATAGATGTACATTGCCAGATTCTGTAATATTGATGTGGTAGTATCTGTTAATAGTGAAATTAATGTTCTTACACTTGGATGCTTATAATAGTATGGCTTTAGGTATTTTGTTCGTTGAGTCGTATAAACAGGACAGATAAGAAGAAAATGTAGTTCATCCTCAACAGTACTCATATTACATAACTGGCATATTCTGTTTTCTCTTTGTATACCTGCATACCTGCCAGTTTCAATAAATAATTCATGGGAAGAGCAACGAAAACGAGAGAGAGCTATACGGAACTTCTTTACGCCGATTTTTGCTAAATAGTCTTCAAAACGTATGTCCGATTTCCATTGGTTATAGTATAAACATTTTGTGGATAGAAGTAGTGATTCCGACCAAGACTGGAAATAGATATCTTTCATTCTTTGTGTAAATGATATGATAAAATTGGTATGCAACTGAACATTGTGATCACACCACACATAACCATAACCAGTTTTGTACAACAACTCCCTAATATCACTCACCCAATTCCTTTTCCCATTTTCGTCATACAATTTCATCATATCATAACATTTTTTTCGGAAACCTATGGCATGGCATATGCAGTAATCTTACCCAATACTTTATGGCTTTAATGGAAGAGTATATAAACAAGGGGAATCTACCTAATTCTCCGTAAACCATCCTATTACATGTGTTCGGTTTTACACCAAGAAACTTTTTGCATGCATATAAATGAACTCTTTCAATACTGTCATATTGTTGTAATCCCCATATTTCAGAGCCATATAAAAGTATTGGACTTATCTTCATATCGAATATTTTAAAGAATGTGTTAAAGGACATTTCACCCAACGATCTCATATTTTTACAAACACAGATTAGGATTTTCAAGGCTTGTGCTGACGCTTGTTTTGTGTGTTTGGACCAGGAAAGGCTATTACAAAAATATACACCAAGATACTTATAAACACTGGTAGTTTTGAGTAGTTGCCCTTTATAATACCATTTTTCTAATTTAGATAGCTTTCCACCTTTCTTAAAGACGATAATTTTGGTTTTGTACAGTAGTACCTATTATGTCGTTTCCCAGTTATCAAACCATGACTGGGTTATTCAGTCTATTTCCAGACATATTACAGATAGCAGACTTGGGTCAGGTAACGACTGCAGCTGATTGTTCTCAGGACACAGATGAACGCAATGTCGGCTTAAGATACACTAAATATTCAGATATTAATGTATGATATGGCCTTCTGTCGAGTAGATGTTCTTCAGTTACTTTTATGCCGATTTGAATTATATTCCAGTGAATGCGGGATCCAAGTGGGATTCGAACTCGAAATTTCGAAAGGCTTCAACCGCTTCCACCATGCAGTAAGCAGACCGTGGAGTTGATGGGGTAGTCTATGCTGGCTAGAACGGGTCGTTGTCCACTACATCGTTCATCCGAGGTGGTTTTCCGACAATGTTTCACGGTCTTGGTATCCTTTCATCTTAAAATGGATGGAATATGAAAACTCAATTCCACTCATCCAAATCTTCTATGATGTGACATACAGTTGAATGTGGTTCATATGTAACACGTAGTAGCATGGATAGAAATGACATCCCAACAACTCTTGTTTTATCCTCTTAATTAAGTACCATATTTTAAAGTCTTTTGGTTTGCCTTGGCCAGAACATCGAACCCTTGCCCTTTCTTACCCCCGGGCAGTCAGATCTACTGGACAACGGGTGTGTTGTGAAATGAAAAGATGTACACTGTGCAACACCTGCTTGTGTTTGACTGACAACTCATATATATAGTTACATGTCAACGTGATAAGGCGGTCAAGGGCAGAGAGATAAGATATGATCATTTAGGAACAATATTTTAATCATAAACTCGAACGACTGAACTGCAATTAGCGATTCGGAACGTTTGTGTGTATCAGGGAGCGGTAATCAACATTGTCGTTTGTGGGCATATCGTTTTGTAGGAAGTTACGATCACCTTTGCGCTACGATCGCTGCGTAAAAAGGGGCCCTGATTAGGAGACGGGAACCGAATGTGAACACTCATCGTTGAAATCCTGTCCTATCACACGGTAGACTTCACCTTACTAGTCATATGTTGTAATGAGTTGGAGTACTACAATGTTGGCAAAGGCATTGTATAAGCTTGAAATATAAACTTCTAATACAAAATGGCGTATATACGCACGCCCCCCCACACAAAGACACACAGGTGCACACACACACACGTGCACAATGATTAAAGCGACAAACCATTCCAGCATCATCAGACATGAGACCGACTTACTAAATGTCTTGTCTTCAATTTTCAGTAAGATGCTATCTGCGAGAAAGTACATCATATCACTTGTTTGCTTAAGTTTCGGGCGATATCTGAAATGTAATCACCGCGTTTAGTGTCAAATGCTCATAGGATTTGTGAATAACGTTTTCCACCGAATTTGTCAAAACCAGTTACAATATCAACTGCTATCAACTACAATACTTTATTTTGTAATATCGAGTCACATATCACACAAGGAAGTAGGGAAATGTATGTATTCATACAAGGTTTTCATTCAAAAGCATCTTGGATCTGGAATAAAGTTTTATGCCACTTTCACTATAATTCCAGGCATTTCAGTATGAGGAACGCCAAGACTAAGAATACAATATTTCTAAATCCCGATTCCTTTGCATGAGGAAGTCGACCAACAGGGAAGGAAACACACCCAGTGTCTGTTATATAATGATATGATAGAAGTTCAAAACCCATTTCATTGTCAATACTTCTCCATTTTGAAGTACACTCTAATAGACTAGTAGTCAAACATCTGTAATGGTTGAACGTAGTTCAGGAAAATATCCTGCACCTTATAATAAGTACGGAATACATTGGGGAAATGAAGAGAGAGAATGTGTGCCCAGATGTAACGATGGACTGAACTGACAACTGCAAAAACATAAAAAAACGGTAAATATGAACTGTCCTCATTCAGCAATAACCCAGTAAACATAACTAATGTAATCTCGTAAATATGAACTTTCCTCATTCAGCAATGAGCAAGTAAATATAATCTTGTAAATATGAACTTTCCTCATTCAGCAATGAGCCAGTAAATATATTCTTGTAAATATGAACTTTCCTCATTTAGCAATAAGCCAGTAAATATAATCTTGTAAACATGAACTTTCCTCATTCAGCAATAGGGCAGCTACTATTGTAATTGTATAAATATGAACTTTCCTTATTCTGCAATGAGCCAGTAAATATAATCTTGTGAATATGAACTTTCCTCAATCAGCAATAAGCCAGTAAACATAATCTTGTAAATATTATCTTTCCTCATTCAGCAATAAGCCAGTAAATATCATCTTGTATGTATGATCTTTCCTCATTCAGCAATAGGCCAGCACATATAATCCTCTAAATATGAACTTCCTCTTTTAGCAATAAATCAGTAACCGCAATCGTGTAAATATGAACTTTCCTCATTTAGCAATAAGCCAGTAAATGCAATATTGTAAATATGATCTTTCCTCATTGAACAGTGAGCAAGTAAATATCGACCTGTAAATATGAAATTTCCTCATTCAGCAATGAGCAATTAAGTATAATCTTGTAAATA